AAAAAAAAAAATAAAAAAAAAAAAATTAAAAAAAAACCCTATTCTCTTTTCAATTATCAGTTAAGAAATGACCAGTACGTCTCTTATAGGCTGCAAGTCCTAAGCCATCTTTTAAAATACACGACATGGTTCTAGGTGCTATCTTCATCTCCCAAGATAAAATCTTTTGCTTTCGGACAGGATTTCTTCGAATTCTTTCCCTTACTGCTTTGACCACCTTTTTAGTACGAACACTACGTGGACGGCCAGATCTTTTTCTGACACAAACAGAGGAGGTCTCATTGCACCTATTAATAGCCCGGTACACAAACATTTTACTAATACCAAGCGTCCATACGCAATTTTTAAAACTCTCCATAGAGTTTTAAAAATTGCATTTGGCTCCATACCTACTTTGTGTAATCCAATCATAGCGATTCGGTTCTCTTTATCACCCCACTCCATTTTAATGTCGCAAAATCTTGTAAAACGTATTGACGCCAAAATTAGAAAAACTCAATGAGCAATCATATAAAAATGACAGATTCCAAATTCAAATATAATATTTGGTTTATTTTTAATTGTAACAGTATTTATGGCCAGACTAAGTATAACATTAACATTTCAATATCTTCACTCCAGCCATGAGCGGGCCCTACGTTCTGTCAATAGCCTATTAATTCGTTGCCCCACACATAGTTCTAGTTATGTTCGTAACTCTTTCGTCGTGCAATCTGTTCTGCTATGGAATGCGCTTCCTCTCGAGATAAGGACTATTACTTACCGGTGCGCGTTCAAGTTAAGGCCTCGGCGAATGCTGTTGGAAAAGTTCGCGGAATCGTCATGAACTTATCAAGATGAAGTTATTTGTTAAGGAAATTTATTAATATATGTATTCCTTTGAATACTGTATAAACTATTATATGTATGTAATGTGCTTGTGTACATATTTATATATTTGTGTATGTATTTGTAATTTAATATAAATTTCATTGCACCTACCACTATTTACTCTGCACTACCTTTGGTTGACTGGTAGAGAATGCTTTAAGCATCAAGTCCATCAATGTAAATTTTACATGAAGTGTAATAAATAATAAACAAATAAATAAAGAAGTTTCACTTCAAAAAATTATGTCATTAGCAACATTGCTTATAAAAACTATTATTGATATACCATTGTTCTACCGTTATCCACAGCACCCCGAAGCATCTCATCCAGTCCACTGCTCGGTGTAGTGCAGACTGCTGCCCGGATCGGAGCCCCCGGACCTGACGTATTAGTTATTTCGTAAAGAATCCGCGGTCTGGAACAAAAGACATCAACGAGCGCCCCCTGCCGCACACCGCGGACTGACAACGCAGCGGCGCGCGGCGCGCCTCAACATACCTCCGGACACTAAGCACCTAACAGTTGACTCTCTCTGACTCGAGAGCCTCTTCGCGCTTGAGGTCGGCGGCGGTGCGAGCGACTCACCCTAACCCTAAGGATTGGCTATAACTAAACTTATGCACATACCTATGTTTATTACAAAAACACATGTGAGATCGGCAATAATCTATATTCAAATTCAAATTCAAATTCAAAATCATTTATTTCAACTTGGATGTCATCAAAAACACACTTGTTGAATGTCAAAATGTAAAAGAAAATGTTAACACTACCACCGGTTCCAAAAAAAGCCACAGTCCTGAGAAGAACCGGCGAAACAAACTCAGCGGTTTTTTTTTTTTTGTATTTTCTCAACTATATTGTTTTTTTTTTTTAACCAAAAAACATATTTACAGTATACAAAAAAACAAGTCAAAAAATACAATTCAAATAAATAATAATAATAATGAAAAATGAAAAGGCCAGGAGCGAACGCCTCATTCCCACGTAGTGCCATCTAGTAAAAAATCCTTAACTTTATAATATGCCTTGTTGCACAAACGTTCCTTGACAGTTTTCTTAAATCTATGAACAGGTAGTAGTTGAACGTCTTGTGGGATCTTGTTAAAAAGTTGTACACCCAGCCCCCTGAAAGAGTTGCTTATTTTCTTAATTCGAGCCGCCTCGAATATCTACTAGAGGTCCCGTAGTAGTCGGAATTCGACTATAATTAATTGGAGTTGTAAGTTTGTACCCTATTATGATTGTATTTTATACTTCTATAATCACAAATTTCGCCAAGACTACACTATAAAAAATATTAACAAAGACAAACAATATCTAATCTATTCTCAATTTGACAACAGACGTCAAGAACAAAAGTTTGACAATAAATAGTATGCATGCGTGTGTGCGTCAAATACATGGTATGTAGGTTGTGTAATGTTTTCTTTATTGATTTAATGTATCTTTTATGCATTATTTAAAAAAAATATTAGCATTGTGCACTTCTTCTCTATATTCTCTATAGGTAAGTGTGGAAAATTTCATACTCCTCCGTCCGCGCAATTTTCGTAAAAAGGGATACAAAGTTTTTGCTCCACGTATTAATATATAGATCCCTATATATAAAAATGAATTGCTGTTCGTTAGTCTCGCTAAAACTCGAGTACGGCTGGACCGATTTGGCTAATTTTGGTCTTGAATTATTTGTGGAAGTCCAGAGAAGGTTTAAAAGGTCTTTAGATAAATATGAAAATGCTCGGAATATAAATAAAAATAACAATTTTATTTTCCCTTTGATGTGTCCTCCGTCGGACGGATTCCTTTTGTTTGTTTTAAGTTTATTTTATACAAAAGCTTAAGACTTTTATTTAACCATTTAACCATGAAAGTGTAACCTCCTACTCCCAAGAGTGCCGACGCCGCACGCGGCACTTCGCGGCACTACCCGACACCGCAGGTGCGCCCGGACCAGCGCAGGCGACCCGGACAAAAAAAAGACTTCCACAGAGCGTGTGATATTGCTCGGTAGACCGACGGTCCGAATGTTGTTGTTCTGAACTTGTATATACCTATGCAAGCTTACCTTGTTAATGTCGTAAGAGAGATTCAAGCGCCTGTAGAGGCGGATTATCCGTAAGGCAAACTAGGCACGTGCCTAGGAGCGTGTACTTACAAGGGGTGCGCGAGCTCAGAATTTTTAAATAAATAATGAAAATAACATATCGACGATTAAGAACTAAATACTGATCTATAATCTAAATATATAATACATATATTATATTGCACAAGCATCGATATACTCGTATTATGCAATATTGCGGGTTTGTTTGTATTTCATTCGCGCATTAGCGTAAGTACAAGGGTCCTGGTCTACTAAAGTCTAGGGTTTGATGATACAACGTCATCGTAATTGCAAAAACAACTAGTTAAAATTTATAGTATTATGATGGTCATTGATGGCCGGTATAGAGGCGCCGATAAAGTGATTGCCTAGGGCGTTCTGGACCTTTAATCCGCCACTGAGCGCCTGACAAATAGCTTTTGTCCACAGGTCGTGTCCCATGACCACCGGTCCAGGACTGCCCGCCGCCTGGTGACGCGGGCGGTGCCAGACGTGTCGTCACGCGACCTTCACCTTACGCTCTCCGCGAACTTCCAGTAAGCTCGTAATTTTCCTCTCGATGTTCTAGGAGCGGTCCGGGGCTGCAGGCCGCCCGCTGCAGCGGCCGCAGCTCGCCGCTCAGTCGGGCTCCGCCGCCCGAGACGAGACCACGCGCGCGCTTCGTGACAGTGCCAGTGACAGTGTCAGTGACGGTGACGGTGACGGTGACGAACCGGCGGACGAGCACAGCGAAAGTAGGTCGTGTTTACTTAGCTTTTATTGAATGCGCTTACTTCGCATTAACCTTATTTATTTTCTTGAAAAATTAATTAATAATCATAATTAAATTAAATATTAAGTACTCAAAATATAATTCTCAAATCAAAAATTTTTAGCCCAGGCTGCGTGGCCCGGACACTGATATTGACATTGCGGGTGATAATACAGTCAATAAAATATGTATATAATAGTGTTATTTTTTATGATGAAAAAAAGAAAAAAAACACAAATTATTAGTGTTTTTAACAGTGGCCCGGCCACAGCGCCATTGCAGTAGTATGTGGTAGTTAGTAACAGTCTCAGTGTCACAGGCAGTGACAGTGGCAACACAAGGACCGTTCCGTAATTATATTTTTTTTTGACAAATTAAAACGTACAAAAAGACATTCCAAATCAATTAATAATCGATAATTTGCTGAATGATATTACGAAAGGAATATGTAATGAATGACGAAAGTTGTCGAGCGGCGCGGGCCGGTGACTGTTGCACCCTCCAGTGCGCCCTGGGTTCCAGATTGCGAGGTCAAGGTCAGTGGGGCAGTGGTGCGTCCACTGACCGGGCGCGTGGGGGGGAGGGGGGGCAGTGGGAGATCAGGTCCGTCTCTCTCCTGTACAACGTGCACTCAAGTGATGTAAGCGCTATTTGTCCACTGAACCCGACCACGGTCGATTCGATTCGTCTTTACCACTAGTACGCTCACCACGGCGAGGTGCGGTGTGAGGCAGCGGAGCGTTACGTGGAAGCGAGCAGAAGCCGGCACCGGCTCTAGCCTCCAGCGCGTTGTGCAACTAGGCCAAGAGCGAGCCAGCACTCGGAGAATTTCACTCGCTGTTATATAAGCTACCGTCGGAGATCAGCGCGCGCTCGCAATCTCGCAGAGCGCGTCGGCCGAGTCTGTGCGACTGCCGGCGTGTCGGCTGCTTAACGCACAGACGGACGGACAAACGCAGCTTCCGTGTCGTCTGTGCGTCGGTGGGCGGCGCGATGGGCCCCCTCTAGGAGGAGCTCCGCGCAATTCAGGTCGACAGTACGGCAGGTGGCTCGACAATTCACAAATACGTGTTTTTCAAAAAATGTTGTTGTCGTAACCGAGAGACCAGCCCTCTACCCACACGGTAGTGCACGTGCCCTGGTCAGTACGTGCACGTGTGTATGAGTGAGGGCTCGGCGCTGGCGCCGCACGACACAGCATGCGACAGCTCGTTCTATTCTGCGATTCCGAACTCCGAAAAATGGTTTTAAGTGTGTACTGAAACCCATAGAATCTTGCCACCCACCTTGATACATAAGGTCTCAGTTTTTACAGTACAACGGCTGCCCCAACCTTTAAACTGAAACGCGTTACTGCTTCACGGCAGAAGCAGGTAGGGTGGTGGTACCTACCAGCGCGGACTCACAAGACGTCCTACCACCAGTGATTACGTAAATTATAATTTTGCGGGTTTGATTTTTATTACACGACTAGCTCACCCGGCAGATTTCGTAGTGCCTCAATCGTTAAATAAAAGACCTAACTTTTGTATAAAATAAACTTAAAACAAACAAAATGAATCCGTCCGACGGGGGACACATCAAAGGGAAATCAAAATTGTTATTTTTATTTAATTCCGAGAATTTTCATATTTATCTACCTTTTAAACCTTCTCTGTACTTCCACAAATAATTCAAGACCAAAATAAGCCAAATCGGTCGAGCCGTTCTCGAGTTTTAGCGAGACTAACAAACAGCAATTCATTTATATATATATATAGATTCTATTGATTCTACTATCTATCTATTCACGATGCTACTCCTTCACCGCGGAAGTCAATCGCGATCAGTCTGCTTAGTGCGAGTTTTTTAACGTTACCTTCATATTAGGAAAACAACTGCTTTTTTTCATTAGTGGTAGCATAAATAATAGAAAAAATATGATTACATACATATTCTGGTATTGTAGAGTCATCATGAAGAAGGATGACCGGGGGGCGCCTACGGGGGACGCACCGGGAGCCGCGGTGGGGCCTCCGCATGTAGGTAGGCAGCGGCTTGGCTCTGCCCCTGGCATTGCTGAAGTCCATGGGCGACGGTAACCACTCACCATCAGGTGGGCCGTATGCCCGTCTGCCAACAAAGGCAATAAAAAATAAATAAATAAAATCACTACGCGACTGCGCAGTAGATAGTACGAAGCGCTACTCCACTAGCACATTCCGTGCCTCGGCTGGAGCATGGCTCTGATTCCTGGGCCGGGGATACCAAATACAGCTACTTCCACTAGACACACAGAAGTATACAACGCGTTGTAGACGAAATAATCTAGATCTCGCGGATAGGTTAGAACGTCTGCTAGCGACAACAACAATTGCTAGAGATGATCCGGTCACCTTCTCTCGTCCCGCGCCACCCGCCACCCGCCAGCAGACAGCAAAAAGGCTCGTCGTCCCTACCACCTGACACCACCAGGCTATTAGCCATTACGTTCTGATTATATTCCTGACTTTTTTTTAATTTTTTTATATTGCTTTGATGGGTGGACGAGCTCACAGCCCACCTGGTGTTAAGTGGTTAGTGGAGCCCATAGACATCCACGACGTAAATGCGCCACCCACCTTGAGATATAAGTTCTAAGGTCTCAAGTATAGTTACAGCGGCTGCCCCATCCTTCAAACCGAAACGCATTACAGCTTTACGGCAGAAATAGGCAGGGTGGTGGTCCCATCCGCGCGGACTCACAAGAGGTCCTACCACCAGTGACATTTCTGGTTTCCACGAGTAACCACTGCCCTTGTGCCTTCAAGAGCGATACATTCTCAGAGCTCTCCTCCTAAAGGTGCACTGGTCACACACGGGATGTGAAGTGTCCTGGAGTGCGGGTCGTGATGTGTGTTGCAGAAGAGTATGTGATCCACTTGGGACAATGTGACGATCATTAGGTGATCTTGACCTTGACTTGAAGTCGAAACACAGAAAAACTTAAAAACCAAACATTTTACGAAATGTCCATTTTTCATACAAACTCACTATTATTGTTCGGAAGTCAGTATTAGGTAATTCAGAAATGTGCGTTAACGGTTACTTTGGTGTAACATAATTTTGAACACAACAAATAAAATCTTGAATCACATCTTGAATAGAATATTTAATATACATATATTTATAAAAAAATACTTTTAGTATGTATTTTTTTTTTATAACTTAGTTACGCGATACAAAGCGTGAACTGTGCTATTAGCATGAGCGTGTGACATGTGATGTCACATACACACACACACACACACACACACATATGGGTTACGTGTAATTAACGACATTCTACTGTTGAAGCCGAAGCGAAAACTCTATATCCGCAAATGCAAAGCAATATACTACCTACAGCACTACGGGTGGGCACCACCGCCCCGCGTATATTTGCCGTAAAGGAGTAATGCGTTTCGGTTCGAAGGGTGGGGCAGTTGTCGTACTATTAAAACTGAGACCTTACAACTCATGTCTCGTATACATAGATAAACGAATGAGCCCATGATGGTTCACGGGTATTCACGCTGTTACTGACGGAGCATTCGCGATCATTATTTAAACATTGATAATTAAATGTTTTCGCATAGGCCGCAAAACCATCTTAGCCGATGTCAAATGAAAAGAAAAAAAAAATGAATAGTATATACCTAAATATGAATTAAGGTTGTTAATAAAGGCCCTTTATCTTTATCTAATTAAATGTTAGCACCGAAATTCTGGTAATTACTCTAAAAGTCAAATTTTTAAATACGGTCCGCAACACAAACGTTGTATGAATAAAAGATGTGTTTTTTTTGCAGCCCGTAATTTGTTTGTAATTGAATTCACGTCGTGACGCAGCCGCTGTCACCGACAAGTGACATGTCACTAATCACATATGATCACGTGCGCCGATGAACTCGGGGTGGTCAAAAACACACCAATGTGCTTAGTGCGAGCTTTTTAACGTTCTCGATAGCGTAAAAGTTAACTAAAATTTGTATGCAGTTGGAACAGCGCCCCTAGTGGCAAACGTAGGCAAACGTTCCAGCTTCATACAACTTCGAGTTCACTTTTACGCTATATAAAAAACTCGCACTAAGCACACAGTTCGCAGTGCTCCGTGTGAACAAGTGATGCCTTCGTGGTTCCGTACAGTAAAGCAAGTCCCTACAGCGCCGCTCACGGTACACGCGACCGTCTCAGCGGGCGAGTCCGGGTGCGCCCGCACGTACATTACATATGAGTCGTCTATTATCAAAGGTGGCAATCTGTGCATTTGGACAAAAAAATGTTATTGATATGTCAATACAGATTGATTTGAATATAATCGTCTCCTTCAAAGAATACGGTTCAAAACCTGCATTAAATAAAGGTTAATACTTAACCTGTTATTTATCTAAGATGTCGTTCAGAAGAGTTTTGTGACTGCCAATGGAATACAAAGTCAATAATTCGTTTTTCTGATTTACCAATAATTGTCCAAAAGTCACATTGCCGGCTTTGATAATAGTCGACTCATATGTACATTATTGCGAATATATAATAATGTTCTAACGCGAAGGACGCCGCGCCGCCCGGTTGCCACGGTACAACAATAAATCAGCACAGCGCCTAGGTACGCACCCCACGTCTCGCGCGGACACATTCCGAAATAACATCTAATTCATTTGTTTAAACTGTCATTTACATTTAAAAACACATTTTTATTTAAATTTATTTAGTGTGTGCTGTGTAACATGTATGTATAATAGATATCTGTATCAATACATATAAATAAAATTGGAGTGGCTGTTTGTAATATTGAAATAACAGCTTTTTACTACATGCGTATGAATATTGTATACATATGTACATATACACCAAAATAACATTTTTTTTTAAGTTTTGTCTGTCTGTCTGTTTATTCCGGCTAATCTCTGGAACGGCTGGACCGATTTTGACGAGACTTTCACTGATAGGTAGCTGATGATATAAGGAGTAATTTAGGCTACT